ACTTATAACTAACCATGGCCAGATTTTTTATTATTTCTTCGACTATGTCAGTTAAAGTTTATGGTAAACTTTTGTCTTGTAGCAGTTTCCGGAGCCAATTAATAATGTATCAGAGAAAGGTGTGAAATAATTTTTCAGTTCAGTTATAAATAACGCGAAAATTATGGCTTATGCAGAGTACCCGCTCTTCATTTTCACTGCTGCCAATAAGTGGACGTTAGCGACAACGATGAATGTGTTTACCACTGTCCGCTGCAGAACAGCGACATTTCTAATAGTCTTCGTACCTTTCAAAGGTTTAGGCCGTACCGTAGTGGAAATGTTCAACTTCTTGGAAAGAAACGACGTAATTGCTATTAGATCCAGTGGCATGTCACAGCAGTTTTATACTGAAACCTTTTATATGGAACGTTGTAGCGAATTATTAGCGGTTGTGCACAGTGGTGTCCGTTGTAATGTTTCCCTAATCACTTAAACAAGGGTGTTCTCTCTGTAAATAGATCACTTCGGCATCGTAAAGCGTCTGCTTTTGGAACGATTGTTATTTAGCAATACGGATTCGTCTGTAGGGTGGATAAAAGGTAAATGATTCATATTTTCGTTACTGAGAGGCAATTGTGCAGCAGATATTCTTCTGTCGATACTTGTCAAAATATTTGGTATAATCGGACCTGATTTGATTCATCGACTGAATGACAAGCTGAAGTACATAAGACGGTCGGTAAATCATTTTTCTAATTACCTTGCATGATAAGAGTAAGAGTCGTGCCTTCACTAAAAGATGTTTTCCAACGGATGTTGCCAGACGATCCACACATTGGTAATAACTAGTAATAATATAGTTACGATTAAGTAGCACATGAAAAGGCAGTGACAAGTTGCTTTGCACGTACTGCTTAGCTAAAATCCGGGTCCGGCGTAAAATATTTCTTATTGACTGAATAAATCATTTAAATGATAAATTCACTCCAACGTTTTTCGGTGCAGCATGCCGAGAAATGAGTTAAATCGTTTACCTGTATAAGGATGTGGCATGTTAATGCTCGACCTTGCCCGAGTTAGGACCATGCATTCTTACGCGTTTGCCATACATAGTTGCAGCGTATCAGCTGCTCTTTCACCTCGTGCTGATTATTACATAAGATTGTCAGCTGTAGGGTTGGTCAAGTGGAAGTGCAGCAACAAGGGTCGTTCGCATCGAACTGCATAGTCGTGAACCTGGTTCATTCAGACACGATAGGACCACAGTACCACGCTGTTCTCGTTATTAGCTAGTCACCGACCTACACGAGTTTATCCGCTGTTTCCGCTGAAATGGCGTCAGTGAGTCTTTTGCTGAAGGGAATTCGTGATTAAATCGAAGCGCATGCCTTCTCTGGTCAGACATGGAGTGCCCATCCTCTCTTTTGAATGATGGTCCTTAATAAGTGTAGAGTTTTCGAATCGTTTTGCAGGGAACAAGAAAAAGTCACCAGGAAAGCAATTGCCCTTAGTCACCCGAAATTCAAGAAATAGTTGCCATAGGCAAAAGACGGAACATGTACAAGCTTGAATTCTTTCTTACCTCATATGTAACACATGACAAGATAACACGACACATCGTCAGCATCAGCTTGCTGAATTACCGAAGTCAATGCAATAGCGATAGGGTTGTATGAGTAAGGCTTGCAGACAAAAGCAGCTGAGCCATGGACAAACTTAGACCCTATCCAGCGTCATAAATGGAATGTGCTTTTTTTCTTTACACTGAACGTTTTCGTCGTCTCAGTTCGGTGTCGATATATTTTAAGTAAAATATTTCATTGTTTGCTGATACATCTGTCTTCTGATATTATCTTCTAGGTAACGTACAGTAATTAACTGAAGAACAAAACGTTCTATCTGAAGTGATAGGCAGTTTAGGAAGCGTCATCAAGCGCCATTTCACCAGATGTCTTTGTCCTTGAACCGTTGTTCTCCATTTAGAGGGTTGGCTTTGTTTCATAAAGTGGCTCAGATAAAGTGAATTAAAATATTTTCAAAACCCTTCTCGCTTATGAAACTTCCACTGGTCACCTGGATGATAATGCAAAATATTAAAACTCCTCGTTGCAAAGTGACAGCAGTGACTGTGCACTAGTGCAAATTAAAGTAGCGTTTCCAGTGATTAGACATCATAAATCTAGGTTAATTTGCCGGTTAAGCTCTGGTTGCCTCAAATGGTGGACACAATAACGACAACATATTCAGAGCATTATTCAGAGTTTAAGAACATAGCGAAAGAAAATCTCTTTTTCACAGTTTATTCATTATGGCGTTGTCACCCAATGTGTGTTTCCGCTTGGGTTCGTAGGTTGATAGTGGATGTGAGTTTTGCGAGACCGATCCGTCTTAAGAGATGTTACCACATTCACTGCAGCTTCAGCAGCCAACCATTAAGAGTACCTGATTAATTATCATAATTACCGTACATTTTGGGGCATGCATCTTCCCTAATTCACCATGTCTTTGTACGCTTGGAACATTGTTGCTCAATTTGTAATATTTACTTTTTAGTGACCGCAGCCCGGTGCATAGCGAAGAGTAGTGAGGACGTCGTAGCTGAAAGTTCGGGAAGCAAGCTTCGTCGCGCGAATGTGACGACGCTGAGCGATGAAGACGACCGCTATCAAGGATCGGTAGTGGAGAGAAAGGATTACGAAGGCGATATCGTCGAAGAACAGTCAGACGAATCCGACGATTTTTATGATCGCCAGTTAGAAGATGAAGATGACGATGAGGCTGAAATGGCCAGATCATCAGAACATGGCGAAGAGGATTCTAGTGCCGGTCGTTTAGAGGTAGAGAACGAATCAGGAGACACCGAAAGCACATCTGAAGATGACCAAATCGAGCAGGAAAATTCAGTCAGGGTTATTGGGGCCGAAGATTTTGAGGCGGAAGCGAAAAAATGTTCCGCAGTGCAAACTCAGCTAAGTATGTAATTCTCTAATTATGAAGCAGAATTTCTCTAATTTGAATGTATTGCGTTTCAGACCTGGTTTTCTGGATAAAACAAGTTTTAAAAGCAAAGCTTTTTGTACAAAACCTGTCTCTTACGTTTCTGTACTTTGTTTGTACTCATTAATTTTGCTTCGCGGTCATAAATCCCACCGAAATCTTTC